GCTCGAGCTGAGATTCTATTATATTTTCCATCATATTACCATCAAAATCTTTCATGCATTCCTTGTATTTAAACATCCTTTCTAATTATTTAACTCTATACGCTATTACATCAGACCGCTCATGTCCATTGTAATAAACACTTTTTTTCTTTTCATCATAATTATATCCCACAAATACATGTAGTTTTAGCATGTCTTTTCAGTAACGGTGCCTTGTTCAATGTATTTTCCTTCGATATATGCCTTTAAAAGTGCAGGGGATCATGATTCAGGTTTTTGCCAATGTAACTATACACGACAATCTTTAGAGACATTCTCATCATTAAGAAAACCCCTCTATTTTGTATGTTTTCCTTGATGATCAGCAATAAGTTCTCCTATTTGTATGTAATAATCTCCCCAATTTCAAATGCATCTTGACATATAATCACCCTTGTTCCACACAGTTTCAGCAATCTGTCTACTAGCATTCATCTTACCTTCTCCATCCAACAATAGCTTTATGAATTTACTTATGCTCACCAGATGTAAATAATCGCATGTAGATATATTTAATTTAGATGATTTCGTAAAAAAGCATTGTTGATTAACTTCTTCAAGACGTATTCGAAGGTTTGTCACAAAATTGGAAGATGATGTAGGGCTTTGCACATGTACTAAAGGTGATCATGTTTTAGTATTAATGGATGTTATCAGGTTTTGTGGTTGTGTTATGGTATCGACAGATGATGTTAGGCTTTGTGCTGGAGACGTTTGTATTATATCAACAGAGGTTTGGTTTTATATATTAGTTAATACTCCATCTTTAAGTTCCTTTTCTCTTTTTTTTCCTCCAGATTGTTGTCCTTGAAGTTCCAGTATATTGTCTTTTATTATTTACTTCAAATCATTCTCTTTCCCATTCCTCCTGTTCCTCCCGTTCCTCCTGCATATCGATCACTGCTTCTTGTATATGGATATTCTCCTTCTGGGACACGAAATGACCTTGTTCCCTAGGTAATTTACGTGCCTCTCATTTCCTTTTATTATAACGTGGCATTTCAATTAACAGTTAGTATTAATATAGTTAATATAGTTTGTAGATTAGTTTTTATTTGATAAATACTTATTAATAGTTTTTTAGAGCAAAAACACAACAAAAGGTTCAAATTTAGATCAAATGAAATATCGAATAAGATTAAACGCATTGATGTTTATGCATAATTGATAAACAATGTGAGGCGAGTATATGTTTTTATTTACATTATAATCAAATGGGTAATTACTTTATAAGTTAATTAGGTTGTATTAATTGTATTGCTTTTGATTATTATTTATTTAGATGATTGGGTCGTAATGATCGCTGAACGATCGTTTATATAAAAATGTAGTGCTCTATATGTTTTTTGTATAAACGATCGTTTAGTGACTATTTGTGCATAAATTATTCGAATAGATTCAAAAAACTCGATTTTTTTTATTATTTAGCATAACCAATAAAAAGAATTAGATAGCATTTATATATGTTCAAATTTTTTTACTTTCGACTTTCGGAATTTTCGAAATTTTATTAAAAGTATTTCGGCATATATGTAAGTAGAAAACTCTAATTTTGGCCAATCAAATGTAATAATATATTCACGTGATTGTTTCAATTTCTGAAGAAAACATATAAATTTCACACGTCTATAACTTTCTATACAAAGAATTTTTTAAAAAACTAAACCGATAACTTTATAAATTATAAGTTAAATTATAAAGTTATCAGTTTGGTTTTTTGAAAATTCTTTTATATAATGTGCAGAAAGATTTTAAAAATGCTTTATTTTTCGATCACGTGATTGTCGGATATAACCTACCGGCACCATAGCTAATTTCCTTCTATAATATACTTAAAACCTTTTCAAGTTGTTAGTGATTATTCACGATATTAACCGATCGGTCAATCGGTCAGTTAAAACCGTTCAAACGATCGGCCGTTGAACGGCGTTACCATCCCTATGGTGGGTGAATAGAACAAAAACATATGAAAAAAGAGTAGAGACAGAATAAGGAAATAGGATTAGTCGAAACGAAAATAATAATTTCATCTTGCTTAATTGTAACATGACAGCGATATGTACTGTACGCCAGAATTATTCCCGGGTACTATCACAATAAATTTGCCGTGAATATAAGTTTTATTTTCATAAAATTTAATTTATTCTATTCATTTATCTAATATAAATGAAAAGAACCAGCGTAAAATATTTTCTCTTCAGTGTTACAAAGTTTAAATCCATTTAGGATTATCGTGTAACAGCCAAACAATATAAATTAAACCATATTATTTATTTTGGATCAACATATCTTTCCTTAAACTTCAATAAAATAATGACTGCTCAATTTTTTCCTAAATTAAGCCAAAATTTTATCGAAATATTAGAGGATGATGAATTTTATGATATTAAAATCAAGGCCGGGGAATATCTGAACGTTGAAAATATTCCGAGCGCACAAGGTCATTTTGAGTTACCGTTCTCCATTTCTACGACGAATTTTGGCTTCCAATAATGACAATGAAGGCATTCTGACTCATGATAAATTGTCAAAAATTTCACCCGAAATCTTTCAAATAATTTTGAAGTAAGTGGTTTAAAATTATATTATTTAGTTATATTTGTTTTTAATTTTTTAAATGATTTTAATATAGGTACATTTATGGTGGGGTGATTTTATTAAATGAACATGTAGCTTCAGATATTTTAGAAGTATTGGCCGCTGCTGAGGTGCTTCAACTTCAAGAGCTAGTTGAATATTTACAGAATTATTTTATCAAAAATAAAGTAGCATGGATTAAACAAAATTTTGAGCTAGTTTACAGAATCAGTTCTCAATCTAGTTCTTTAACTGATCTTCGACAATTTTGTACAAAATTACATGGTCAAATCACCAGAACTCGTTTCTAAATCACTTGATTTTTCTTCACTTCCTGAAGATATCTTAATTTCTCTCATTAGAAGTGATAATTTACTAATGAAAGAAGTTGAAGTTTGGGAGCGTGTATTAAAATGGGGACGTTATAAGAATCCCACACTATCTTTTGATCCTATGACCTGGTCAGATGATGGTTTCAAACAAATGAAAAACACTTTACAACAAAGTTTACCCTTAGTTAGATTTTTTAGCATGACCTCTGAAGAGTTTTTCCGAAAAATTCATCCATATAAAAAACTTTTGGAACCCCAACTTTATGAAGAATTGTTACGATCTTATTTAGATCCTAATAGTGAGCCAACAATTAATTTTTCGCTTCCTATTCATAGAAATATCGGTGGAATTGTAAATTCAAACATCGTTAATTTAAATATTGTTTCTGCAATCTCAAAATGGATTGATAAGATAGAAATTAAAAGTAAAATTGATTGTATAAGAGATTTGTATCTACCATATAAATTTCGATTAATATTAAGAGGAAGCCAAAGTGGGTTTACTCCTTATATGTTCCATAGAAGATGTAGTATACCTGATACAGTTACATTTATCAAAGTAAAAGGAACGGAAGAAATTCTTGGAGGATATATTCCGATATTATGGAAAAAAGCTTATTATATCAAATATGGTCATACAGATGAAAGCTTCATATTTTCTTTTAAAACAAAGAAATTTAAAGATCCAATTTAAGCCGTGTTATTGACAAATATAATGCAATAATGTATCATGATAATTTCGGTCCTTCATTTAATCATAATCTTTTTATTAGTTCAAATAATGACCAAGAAGACTTTAATACTTGTTATTGCAGAAAAGAAAGATATGAAAAAAAGATAAGAAATGAAGAAAAATTCTCAATAGAGGAATATGAAGTATTTCAAATTTTGGATGATTAATTCCTTTTAAAGATGGTTCAACAACATTTTTATAAGCTTTAACTAGTTGACAAGTATTTACGAACAATTACCAATTTTCAACATTCGATATACATTTGTATTTAATAATTTATATTTATTATGTTATTCCGTTTATCTAAAAAATTTTAGTTATTTATATTAGTATTAAAACGAAGCACTGTTCTATTGGTGATTAAGGTAGGTAAACGATAGAAATTACGATCATTTTATCGAAAAATTTCGCATTCGATGTGCTTCATATTATCACGTGAACATATGTTATTTAAAATCAATAAAATTTGGATTTAAAAAATTATCTACGTCTTGCTCAATTCAATATTTGCAAGAAATTGTGATATAGAAAAATATTAGATCAATAAGTGAAGAAAATAGACTACTATTGATTTAGAGGAAAAATTTAATGATTGATTAATAGAAAGAAACCCAAACAGAAATTTATCAAAGATTTAAAAAAATAACATAAAGCGAGTACTATCGAAACTGTCGAAACTTTCGAGATCCATTGAAACTTACGAAATAATTTTGAAAATTTCGATTTTTACCAAAATGTGTTTAGGGTTTTGCTATATTAAAAACAAAAGAAAAAAAAAGGATTTTGTTTTCAGATATCAGATAAAGTTCCGTTTAAACTATGAGTCCGAGAAAACGTTAATTCAAAAACTCTTGTATATTTCATAAATTTATAAACTTGACTCAATCAAAATTTCCAATTCGAATAGATTGAAAATTTAAATATTTTTAAAAGAATTAAATTTTTTTAAAGAAATAATATTATAAAGCGTATAAATATCAACTTGCTAAAATTCATATAATTGTATAAAAAAAAATTTAAAAATTAGTTAAAGCTGATCTTATTCTGACGCAACGCAAAAAATTATTTTTTAAGAATATCTTTCGATTTATACGTCACTTATGGCGCAGTAATAATAGTAAAGTTCAGAATGCTTTTGTTGCTCAAAAACGGATAGTTGATGGCGGTGTATTATTTACATGCTTTAAATAGTTAAATATGTGACACAAATTCGCAAATGATCATTAAATGAAGTCAATAGCCTTATATAATTTTTCATGTGAAAAAAAAAAAAATAAAAAAGTAAAAAAAAATACAAGTTTGTATAATTTTACATCGAAATGTTTCTCCAAATGTTTCGATATCACTTATTGCTTATTTTTTTCTTTCAATTGATTACACTTGTTAATTCTTATAATCTTATAGGGCGTGCGCTTCATACTTCCAATTATTTAAAAGACAAAATTTACTTTCTTGGAGGTGAAACAGATAGAGCATCACATACCAATGATTTTTTTTATTTAGACGTTTCAGCACCCTTTACTTTAGATTCTTTGCCAATAGTCGATTTAACCAGAAATGTTCAGATTGCTAAACATAAAAGAGCGACATCAAGCGTGTGTGGCCCTAATAAAGATACAATCTTTCTGTTTGGTGGCGATATTGACGGTGATGAAAGTGCTGCATCCTTAGTTTATACATTTAACATCAGCGTTCCACAATGGACTAATACAAAGATCGGAGGACCTCAACCACAAAGACGTGTAGCGTCATCAGTCGTCTGTGATGAAAATGCAAGGATGTATATATTTGGTGGTACCAACGGTGATGGTTATCAAAATGATTTTGATATTTTGGACACAGATCAATTAACTTGGTCATTGGGAAGTAGAGTAAATATTCCACCTCCTATGGACTTGGCTACCGCAAATTTATTATCGAATGGGAAAATCGTCTATCTAGGAGGATATAGTAATGGACAACTTATTGACATGTCAAAGGTTTGACGAAAGTTTTATTTAAATTGATCTTTATTTGTGCTTGTCCCATCATTTTTGATTCTAACTTTTAAAAATTTGATTTTTAATATTCATCATATAAAGATTTATTTATATGATACCATTAACGATGAATGGTCACGAATGGTTATAATCTACTTGCATTTTCTTATAAGTTATTTAAATTCTTAATACAAATTTACAAATATTATCTTTCAAATATTCATAGTTTATGATGGGCACTCCACCAAGGGGTAGAGCTTGGCACTCGGCCATCTTAAGTATGTCTAATTAAAATTTTTATTTTGTGTTATTTCTATTAAAGCAAGACAACCAAATTATTTAATTCCGTAAAGCACAAGATGGCCGCATTATCGTCTACGGAGGAGTTCCTGTTTCTCCTGATGATCAATTATCGGTTCTAGATACCACCGTACTACCCTTTAAATGGAGCATTCCCGAGATTTCATTTACTCCTAGTTCTGCACCATACAGAGGGCATACAGCTACGCTTGTTGGAAATTATATGATTGTTTCATTCGGTATAATTTAATATTTTTATATTAGATGAAATATAATTAAATGAACTAAAAAGATTATTTATACACATTTATAGGTTGGATCTATAAAGGCTCAGCTCCCGCAGTTTATAGTAATCAAATTGTTATGCTTGACATAAGCGATAAAAATGATTACAAGTGGGTCACGAAATTCACTCCTAATACTACTGTTCCGGTCCCAGTTCCAGACCCAGTACCAGCTCCAAAATCTAATAGTAAAATAATTTTTATTTCGTTAGCCTTGATAATTATTATATTTATTATCATTAGCTCATTTTATTATTATAATAATTATCATGTTAAAAATGCAAATGCGAGAGAAACTTCCCCACTATTACCTTAAGATCAAATTCTTATTCTTCATTAAATTAGTATCCCCCAAATACCTGAAAGAAAAAGATTTTATTTTTTTTTAAGTCTATTCAACAATTTTTTTATAAATCGTTTCGCTGTGATTCAAAGCTTTTTGAATGAATCCACATTTCTTAAATATTTCATTAACATAAATTTAGTAATTGTAATTTGAATTCCTTTCTAATCAATATTTCATCACAGATATTTAATTTTTGAAGATAATGTATTGATAAGATTTAAAGGATTTTAAAAGATATTATGTGCATTAAAAGAACTTTTATGAATTAATTTTTTCACAGAAGAACTATTTTTCATATTACTTTTCTTTTTCTTTAAAGGACCTACAGAATGTAAACTCCGTAGTTAATAACTTAAATTACTCGTGACGAAGATTACATTTACAAAGCCATAGACAAAGTTAGGATCGTGGCATTAGGGTTAGGGTTAGGAAAGTTCGGAAGGAGAGGTTTGTTAGGAAAGCCGGCCACAGGCCACGCAGCCAACGGCTGCGCAACATTTCCGATAAGTTGCGTGGAATTAGGGTTAGTTCGTAGCATTAAAGTAAGTATAAATCAAATCACGTGTTCCTATATTGATATTGGGGAAGGGAATATGTTGCGGGTCTTTCATTCGTGGCAATTTTCCGAGTTTGTGCTCTCTATAATGTTCTTTTAAACCATTATCATTCGAAAAACTTTAGCGTATTAATAAGTGTAAGAAGTTGCGTGATAGATTGTCTGAAGAAAGGTGATTAATTTCAATGATTTCTTAATACAATTTAATTTAATTATAATTGTTTATAGATGTAAATACTTTATTAATCGTTATAATATTGAGAACAAAATTCTATTACATAATTATCAAAATAAAGAAAAATCTCATATTTATCTCACATTTATCCATCGTGAAACCATTAAATGTAACATTATAATAAATTAAATGTAAATGTAACTCTAAATTAAAATATAAATGTCAGCTCGAAAAAGGAATGTGACAGCGTGACGCTCGCACAATTGTCCCTGTTTCCTAGTAAGCATGATACTAATAACCATTTTTATCGTATCGAAATACATAGCAAGAAATAAAAGTTTATTTAATACTCAAGTTAAAATAACCTAGACTTTACAAACTAATCCCTACCAAAATAATCTATCATTGTTATCAATGTAATTAAAAAAGCAGTCTCGTTTAAAAAATAAATTTAATCTTGATATCGAACACTACACGTCTTGCGAAGAAAAGCAAAAAGATGGCTCGGAAAAAATTCCACGTCGTCAAAATGCGGGGATTATTTATCGTAAATATAAGATCGGCTTTTTATGTCCAAGTTAGTAATTTTACTTTCATTATATTGGTAATACTTCAATAGTTAAAGTCAAGAAATTAAATGCAAACGCGATTTAAGCCATTAATAATAATATCATTAGATAAATATATATAAGCTTGACCAGCAGAGGCACTTCGATCAAATTGGACATAGGATAAGCGAACCCATATTTCATACTTGCTTTGCCAATAGTATATACTTCTTTCTATATTTTTGGTACTTACATCACTTTAACTGAGGTCATGTTATATTTATTTTTTATTAAAGAAGAAAAAGGAAAAGAGCCGAAGTGTACGATAAAATTAATGTGACGATAGAAAAAAATCATATTGATGATTTTAAAACTATCTTTTAATAATTATCGGCGTGATGTTGTTGTATTTTAACGTCTAAATTGTCAGCAAGCTCTTTAACAATTAAAATTTCGATAAGCTTTACTTTTGCTGAAGAAAAAAAAATAGAAAAGATTAAATAGTTTATTCGTTCGAGGAGAACTTGCTAATTTGCTATATATAATGCTGGGGATATTTTTAAACAAAATGTTTGGTAGAAAACGTTAATTCTCCTAGTTTATTCATTTTCGTTTTTTGAACAAAATTATTTATCGGTAAAATTAGTACATTGTGGCAAAAAATGGTTTAAAGTATAAATTCGTATACTGCGATATGTAATACTTATTTAACTCTTCCCTTAAACTACTTCTAAAATTCATACGTTTATATAATAAAATCCATCGCGTTATAAATATCATTATGATCTGATAGCTTTGAGTAACGCCGCTAAAATATCCCTAATTTGTAACAGATAAGAATGATAAATAGCGGGAATTTGAATATTAATAATTTCAGGAAACTAGTGATCTTGTGATTTCGGCAAAATGCGATATATAATCGGATTTGTATCGTTTCGTGATTTCGAGATTCTGTGCTTTATACGGAATCCGTCCAGGTAAGGACCTCCCAAAGTAAAAAGATGCTTTAAATAATTTATAATTAATCAGTTAAGATTTATAGTAAATCTTCTATTTTCATTTTTTTTGTTAAAAATAAATTTATTTGTAAATATAATAGAAAGTAGTTTTTTACTGTCATAAATACTTTATAAATATCAAACAAATATTTTATAAAATTTAAATAAATATAATAATATACTACAAATTTACGAAACAAAAATAAATTCTAACTTTCTTCAGAATTAAATATTTAATTCTAAATAATCAAATCCTCTATAAATATAAATTTGTTAATATTTAAAATAAATATATCAATTTAAGATAAATTTTAAACTTTTAAAATAATTACCAGTATTTTGACAAATTTGGTTTGAAACATCTTGATTTAACATACCATTTAAATTTTCAGTAAAATCAAGTAAACGACTTGTATGATATGCTTCTAAATGAGGTTTAACAGGTTTAATATTATCGTTGTCTTGATTTAGTCTTAAATCACTATTATAAAATTCTATAATATCGCTATTTAAGTTTTCATTAGACTTTTTTGTTATAAGATTTTTATACCAATTATTAATAATTTTTCTAATTTCTAATGCATCTGGTCTCTTTAATGGATCCGTATTCCAACATCTTTTCATTAAATCAATATAACATCGAGGAGTATTTTCAATAATTTCTGGACGTTCACCTTTACAGATACTTAAAGTAAGTTGCAGATCATGAGCTTTATCATCAAATGGAATAACTCCGGATGTTAATTCCCACATAATCATAGAAAAACTATATATATCACTGGCTGTATTGTAATGTATTTTTCTTAAAATTTCAGGTGCAATATATGGTAAAACTCCATAAACATCATTTGATTTACTTGGTTGAAAATATTCTATTGGTTTACATAAACCTAAATCACTAATAGATAAAATTCGATTCGTGATACTTAAAATATTACCATGATGTAAATCACAATGAATCAGATTTTGTTGATGTATTTCATTAAGTCCAATTATAATACATCGTAATTTAAATAGTTTCATTATCCATTTCTCTTTAACTATTTTTGATAAATTATTTTTTAAACTAAGATTTTCTGCATATTTCATTATTACTATATAATTTAAAGTATTTGGATTTTGAGTAAATCCATATAACTGAATAAGATTTTCACTTGAATAATATCTTAATTGACTATAAGATTTATAATGATATTCCCACTAAAAAATAATAAAAATTATTTTAAAATAATATTTAAAATTTAAAATAAAAAAAAAAAGTTTTTAATTTTACACACCTCATTTAAAAATTTATCATTTAAAATTGATGATTTATCTAAACTTTTAAAAGCTATAATAACATCACCATATCTATTCCATTTTTTCTCATTAAAAGAATAGGATTTAATAAATCCGTCTAACCAAATAGCCTTATATATAGTACTAAATCCTCCTTTATCAAGTTCTTCAATATTTTTAAATTTATTATAAGGAATCCATTCTAATATTTGCTTTTTATGTTGAGCATTTAGTTGAGAATTTTGAATAAAATTATCAAGTAATTCATTATCACTAGACCAATTAGAAAATTCCTGTTGAAATAATTTAGAATTACATTCTTTACACCATTTATATCCTGTATTTTTTTTATTACAATTTAAGCAAATTTCTATTTTCTGAATTAATATATTATTAATATTATTATTAATTTAATTTTAATTTATATAAATAATAATAAAAATTAATACTTACTTAATCAAATAATTTAATATTATATTTTTCAAAATAAATTTAGTTAAGTTAAATTATAAGTATAAATAATATAAATAATTGGATTTAATTTACCAACTATAATATAATTATTAAATTAAATTATATTTATATTAAATGTATAATTATATAAAAATCATTAATAATAACTTACATTCTAAATATAATTAATTAAATATTTAATTATATAATAATTAAACTTATAATTAAGAATAAATATTTAAATAAATACTTACTATCTAAATTATTAAAATAATTTTAAAACATAAAAATAATATAATTAATTATAAATAAATAATAAAAATAACTTACTATCTATATTATTAATTAAAAATAATTAATTAGTTAAAGTTATAATAAAGATAATTAATTAAATAAAAATAACTTACTATCTAAATTATTAAATAAATATTTTTAATAAAAAATTTAGTTAATATTTAATTAAATAAAAGTATAATTTTATATAAAAATCTCTTACCAACTAAATTATTAAATATATTTTAAATAAAAATATAAATTAAAAATATAAACTAATATAAATAATAATAAAATAAATATAACTTACTTGCTAAAATATCAAAATTAAAATTTTTAAGTAAAAATTTTAAATTAAATAATAATAAAGATTTTTAAATATATATAATTAATTTAAATAACTTACGTTCTTTAATTTGAATTATTAAATAATTTTTTAAAAACTTAATTAAATATAATTTAAATAATTATAATAATTACTTACCATCTATATTTAATTTAAATTAAAATAATAAATTCAAATTATAATGAATATATAACTTTATATAAATAAAAAAATAAATGTAACTTACAATCTATATTATTAAAAAATTTTAAATTATTAATTATATTAAGTTTAAATAATAAAGTTTTTAATAATTAAATATAATAATAAAAAAAAATATCTTACCAGCTATTATTTATATTAATTAAAAATATATATTTAATCAAGTAATTAAGTTATAATTATAAATTATAAATAATTAATAAAAAATACCCACCATCTAAATCATCAAATATTTTAAATATAAAATTAAAATCATTTTAAATTATAGTAAATAGTATAAATAAATAAAATATTAATGATTAAAATAAATAACTTACCAACTATAATATTATATTTTAAGTAATTTTTTTTTATAAATACATTTATTTTTAAATTGTAAAAAGTAAAGTAATCAATAAAAAATAACTTACTAACTATAAAATTTATTATTAAATAAAAAAAATTAATTAAATTTGATAAAAATATAAGAAATGTTCTATTTTTTGTAAAGTAATATATAATTAAAAAAATAACCTACTCCCTATAAAATAATATTTATTTATTTATTTAAAATAAATTAAAATAATATTTAAATTATAATAATATTAATAACTTACATGCTAATTATTAAATTTTTTAATGAACAAATTAATTATTTATATTATAATAAAAATATAAATAACTATTAAATTTTACTTACATTCTATAATATTAATTATTAAAAAATTAAATTTAAATTATAGTTAAAATTATAATTTAATTTAATTAACTAATAAAAATAGCATACCATCTAAATTATTTAATAAAAATTTAATTTATTTAAATTATAATGCAAGAATATTCAAATTTAAATAATAATAGAAAATTTACCAACTATATAATATATTAAATCATTAAATATTTTTAAAATAAAATAGTAAATTAATTTTAATTATAGTAATAATTAAATATAAATAATATTAAATAATTATAATTTACCATCTAAATTATTAAATAATAAAGTTAATTAAAAAATAGTAAAAGACTAATTAAATATTAATAATTAATAAATACTTACAATCTAAATAATTGATTTTTTTTTAAAATAAAAATTAGTTAAATTTATTATAGTAAAGAATTATTAAATATAACAACCTACAATCTAAATTATTAAATATTTAAAAACAATTTAATAAAGTTATATTTGTATTAAAACTATAATTAAATTAATTTTATTAATAAACTTACTTGCTATAATAATAAAAATAATTTAATTATGTTAAATTATAGTAAAAAAATTAAATATATATATTTATAATTAATTTAAATAACTTACAATCTAAATTAAATAATAAATTTGATTAAGTTTAAATAAGTATAATTTAATATAATATAATAATAAAATTAACTTACCCCCTTATAATATTAATTATTAAATATTTAAATAACAATTTAGTTGAAAATAAATAGTGTAATTAAATATAAATATCAATAAATATAACTTACATGCTATAATATAACCATTTTTTTTAAAATAAAATTTAGTAAATTTAATTATAATTAAATATTAAATATAATAATAAATATAACTTACATTCTATTGTATTATTTAATATTTTAATATATTTAATAAAATGTGAATCAAATAATAATCAATCAATAAATAATTATTTACCATCTAAATATTAAATATTTATTTAAATAAAACAATTTTATTAATTTAAATTATAATAATTAATTATTTAATTTACTTACTTTCTGTAATAATATTTTCAAAATGAATATTTTTATAAATTAGATAGTTAAAATTATAGTTAATCAATAAAAATAACTTACGTTCTATGATATTTAATAAAAATTTAGTTTCTTAAATTAAATATAGAAGATTAATAACAATAACTTACCAACTATAATATTGTTTGTCATTTAATGTTTTAAAAAAAAATTAACTAAATTTAAATTGCAATATTAAGAATAAAGAAAATAAAGAACTTACTCCCTATAATATAATTAATCCATTTAGTTTTTTGTATAAAAAGTTTAAGATATTAACAATATTATAATTAAATGACCTACAATCTATTAGTCCATAATATTTTTTATGAAAATAAAATAATTATCATTAAGGGATTATTACTTGACTTAATGAATATATAAAGTTTGTTACCATTTAATTCTTCTAATATAGGCGCCTTAGGAGCATATGACTCTAACATAAAAGGCTTATTTTCTTAAAAAAAAATTTTTGAAATCAATCTGTAAATATTATAGCTCAAGATATATAAATAATTTTAAAATTGTCTTTACCTTCTATTACTTCTACTTTTCAAAATTTATTAGTATTAATGAATAATATAAGAGAAATATATGAAAGTGTTTAATGAATATTATAGTATTACCTTCTAATTCTTTCATTGAAATATTTTCGGCGTCATATGAAACTGGTTCTAATTTTTATTAAAATGTTTGGTTTAACGAATAACAGTATTATATTAATGCGGTTAATGAAAGTTACCTTCTAATGTTATTTGCTCAACGTCTGCAGCTAATTTAATTTGTTACATATTTATTTATGTTTTAAGAAAATTATTTTTCTCAGATCCAATTGTATTAATAAACTCAGGTGTGATAAACTTTATTCATACCAATCTTATCTTCGTCTTCTAGATGAACACTTTTTTTTTTGGTAAACAAGCTTTTAATCCGCTTTATTGCACTTTTATCTTTATCATTATATTTATTCATTGTTACAAATTTAAACGACGACAAACAAATTAAAAAGAAATTACTGCATATGTCGATCATATTTATTTAAATTTGAAATTTGCTGCGGTTATGAATTCAACATCAAAATTGTCGATCAAGTTAGGCGCACCGGAGCGTAAGCGGAGGACTATTAAATACTATGCAACTTAATAAATTTGTCAGTCTGTCCGCCCGCTCAATAATTGAGTCGATGCTGATTGGCATTTGCAATTGCAAAAGTCTAGATAAAGCAATACCAGGGTGAATTTTTTTTTAGTTAAGATCGTTTCGGACTTAACAACGGTCCCCGTTCCCTAGTTTATAATTCTTTCCATAGCTATTAATAATTTAATGAGACTATAAACCTTAAAAATTACGTAGTTACTTTTCCAATAAATAGAGTAAATATTTCGGACCCTTTTATTTAAAATAATGGAAACAAATACTTGACATAAAAAATATTTGCATCTTTTTAAAATATAATAAACGAGGGAATTTTCTTACTTTTGTAGTAACTAAATTTAAATAAGAATAAAAAATTATTGCTAATTTAAAATTTAAAAAATTTAAGATTGTTTAATTCATTAAAATAATTAATTTGAAACTAATTTGATTTGAGATTAATCAAGAGAAGATTCATCAATTAAACTCTAATCTCATCAATGTCTTTTACTTCAAATGCATTTATGATAAAGAATATTTGAGCCGTAAAAGTTAATAGGTAAGATTAGTTATCGATTTAATGATATAGGTGAGTCATATTAATAATGGAGGATAACACTAAAATTAATTTTATGACAACAAATATTTTATCTTTAAAATTTTGAATACTTGCGGAAGCTGAGTTTATGGAAATTATAAAGATGGCATTAAGCTAACAATTGCGGCAAGTATGTTAATGTATTCCCGATTATTTAAAACTTTTTTTTTTTGATCCTTTTGTAGTGGATGGATGAATGAAATTGTTAGTATAAATTTTCATCTAAAATTATATTTGCACGAATTATATTATATAACTCTCTTTCACGTTACAGCAACAATTTCAATGATAAGTATTATATAATTTATATAATATACAGAACATAAAAATTGATATTCTACATATAGTTCCCTTTCAAGTATCTCTGCCAAATTTTTTGCAAATTTTTTTATTATATCCTGACAGATCGTTCGAATTTTCTTTGATATAGAATTTATGATGTACTTTTGCAGTTCGTGATAGTTCCTCATTACGATTACTAAGCACAATAAACAATATGCAGAAAGCTCATCTTTTATCTTTGCTTTGTTCAAATTTACGGTTTTCTTTCGCTTACAAAATTCATTACCAAATAACCTTTAAATTCATTTCAAAATGTTTAAATGTTTTATAGACTTTTTTCCGTGATACCCCAGCAACGAAATAATATCCTTTAGCCAGATCCTACTTTTTTATAACAAAAAGTAAGCAACTACTTTATAAATAACTTTTAAATTAAAAAAGAAGTAAAAAAAAAATTATTTATTAATTATCCTATCATTAACATTCTAAATATCCATTTAATTTCGACCCTAACAAAAGAAAGCGATAAATATCTTTTAACATACCTTATTTAATTTACGAATGGTTACAATAAAGAATAAAGAATAAAAATAAATAAAGGTTCAAATATTATTAATAAAGAACCGGAAACTTTAGAAGAGTTTATTATAATCAATCGATCAAACAAAAAATGCTTATGTAGGTTAAGACCGTGGTATGATTTGTAACAGCCTTACCTTCACGGTTGCGCAAATGACTTCCAAATAACTTTAAATAAGTTCAATTATAGATAATAGGCGCATTTGTTGCGCCAAAAACAAACAATGGATTCGATTGTTTAATCGGCTTGCCGCCAGTTTTAATTTTTAAAAGGCGAATATATTTAATTTGTTTGGAATTATAAATAAATAGGTGGTAAAATTTGGTATACCAATAATTCAAGAAATACCCATCAATTTATTCGTCTTTAAGATATTTCTTAAAAATAACCATATTTTCACTTTATCAGGTCATAAATGATAGATTAGGAATAATTAAAAAAACCTCTATTCTGTTATTATCCTTGAACTTTTCTATTTATTGATCAATATTACCAACAATTTTCATAAAATTTACTTTGGTAAACTAAAATCCTTTGCTGATTTATCGGATGACGCGAATACAAATTAACCTTCTTATATGTATATCTAATACATCTAGGAAATTTAATCTTGCGTTGGATATATTTTAAAATTATTATTGATTTCTAATACTCCTACGTTAATAGATTCCTACCATTGCCAGTTAATTAAACGGTTAAAAAAAAAATCGTCATTTATAAATGGCGCAGTAATCGCGCGTTGTTAAGCCTAAACACTACGTCGTTAGGATAACAAAGCTTATTTGCTAACAGGGAGTTTAAATCGTAAACTATGAAAGAAATAAACACGAATTTATTTAAGTTGAAGGGTCAGGTCGTCTTTATTGATGATTAATATTTTAAGGAAATAGATATTGACAAAGATATAGTTTTTATGTTGTTAAGATTATACTTTATTAATTGTACGATTGAAACTTGTTAGTTTGTCAAGGCGACAATACAGGATATTTATATGAAATACAATTATAAGATAGAGATAGTAAATATAATAATGAAAATAAATATAACTATGATAATAAATATAATAAATAAAATAATGATAAACGTTAAAATAATGAAAATGATAGCTGTGATAGCAGTGAAATCGGTGAAAATAGTGATCACGATTTTCCTAGTGATCATTGGTGATGTTAATTTGCGCAGTCATTTAGTTGCGCAAACAGATTATCACTAACAGCGTAAAATTAATGAAAATGTCAATCGAAAATGTTGAAATGTCATTAATTATATCAATTATTTTATTACAGTATATCAATTATTTTTGTTTACATATTTATAATAGTTTTCGTTGTATTATTATGTCGTTATATTAATAATTTTTATTACATTAAATATATTCGTCGTATAAACCCCGAAAATCCGCTTTGTTCAAAAAATAAGGTTGACGAGTGAGTCTTGAGAAGAGACGTCCGATATCTTTATAAAATTAAACTTTACATTTTAAACCTTATCGTGTCTCCGTATAGACTGAATAATAACCAACTACACAAAGAATCGAATCGATTAAGTAAGCTGTTGTATAAATCTTTTTAGGACGGGCCTGATTTAAATTAATCGTTGTTGTTTGATTTACTTGGTTTCGGTTTAAAATCGGATTAACACCGATCCGGTTAAAGAAAATTTTTAAGCGATTAAAATATTTGATATTAACTCCGCCCGAAATATTTTCTTCTAGAATTAAGATTTTTATGATTGCAAATAGTTACTGGCCTAAGCTAATTTTAATCGGTTAATTAACCGGTAACGAATATTTTAACCGGATATTAACCGGTTAAAGATTTAATTGAATAAATATTTGATCCGTTTGGAATTTTCCGAATAACTTTCTCGATTTATTACTCAATATACTTTTAGCAAACTCTGTAAGAAATCTTTACTCATAGAAGAATTCCTATGTGATCATAAAAACAAATATTTTTAAACGATTTTTTCGTGAGTCAAGAAACAAACTTTATCAAGAATCTATCAGTAGTAACTTAAATATTTTAAAGAAATAATATAATAAATATGTACAGTCGCGTCACAAAGTGACGCTCGATCCAAATTTTACAATAAAACATATAAAGAATAGATAATTTCAAGATATATACATATTATTAATATTTACTTTAATAAATATTTCTAAATTAATATTAAAGCCCAGTTAGTTGTATTTTTTTTTAAAAAAAAGGTTTTAATTTTAGAAAATTTTAAATGCATAAACTATTTTGATTGTAATTTATAAGATCAAAAAAAACTTCATATTGTACATATAAAAATGGACAATTTCGAACTGCATATAAATTTCTATTTCTTTTAATATTGCATAATTTTACAGCAATCAGGAATAATTTAAAACTTGAAATGCAATGAACCATTTTAATTGTTAAGTAAATTTTATATATAAATAACTATGATATTTAAATCGGGCGACAACTTTGTGACGCGACTGTACATGCATATATTAAACGTCTCACACAAAAGAAATTTATCATTTACTGTATCTCTTGTAAAAACGAATATTAAATATACACACAAAATTTTGACCAATATATAAGACGTCATCTAATCCCGGATTTTATTGTATTTTTTAAAAATAATATTATCAAAATAAACTATCTGATTTGATAAAAACTAATTTAAAAATTAACATTGCGATGAAATATTTGAATCTTATAAAAATGATAAACATTAATTATCTATTTTATGAATATTTAGTTCATTTAATAATTTTTCATTCATCTCTGAAAATTCATTAGAACCCCATTCATCATTCTTAATTAGTTCTTGTATCCTTCTACGCACTTCATCAACATCGGCATGATAATATCTAATAAAATATTGGACGTATTAGTATGAATTGCAAGAATAAGATTGCAAGGCAATGTACAAAAGTTGACATACATTTCATCAGGAAACCAGGATTTCCAACGTCTTTGATGTGGAAGCAAGTAAAATAACTCGATTTCTGCTAAAATCTAAATTTATTAAAAGAAAATAAATATTAGTTAAAACATTAATAAAGTTCAGAATTTATGACGTCTAAATATCATACATTCGCTTTTTGTAACAAATACGAGGTTCTATTGTTATCCTTTTCAATCTCGATATTAAGTAACCCGATAAACAAATTCATAAGATATACGACGACCAAGAAAGAGAATAAAATCATCAATATGACAAGTATTTTATTATCTTTATATGGCCATAGAGTTAAAGCACTTGAATCACCTATAATGAATTGAATCAGCTATGTGTTATTAAAATAATAATAATATTAATAAAAATAAAATAAACATACCTGTTAAAAATAAATACATCGCAAAAAGGGAGGTACCATAACCACTGAACATGTTTGTATTTGCATCGGGGATTTGAATTATGAATGGATTAGGATTAGTTGACCCTATTTGATCGGAGTTAGAATAAGTAGTTGTAATATTCCAAGGATCTTCTAAAGCCAATAAGATGTAAAATGCATGTGCAAAACTAATTAAAATGATTCCTAAGACTACCAAGAAGGAGATTATTCGTTTCGCAACACTAAGAATAATCTCAAAATAGACACCAAAGGATTCAAATGCTCTTAAAAATAATAAAAATTTCATATCTAAAAATAAACATGTGACAGAAAGCAATTGAACGTTTTTGTCATTTGTTTGATACCAATAAATAGAAGTACCAATTGTAAGAAGATATGCTGTTAAATCTATAATAAAGGAAGGGTTAATTATATATTCTTGAATTAATTGGTTGCAGACATTTAACATACCCAATATATTCCAAACATCACGAACCCATTTTAAGGGACTATAAATGAATTGACGTATTTCAAAAGTTAAATGAACAAATCCAAGAATCGTTGAGGCAAGCAATAGTTGTTTTCTGATATTTTGAGGTATAAATTCTTCAGAAAATGTTGCAGCTATAGTAAAGCATTCAAGTAAAGCAATAAATCCAACCCATATAATTGAATAGTAAAGTTTTCCATATTTATTCCATTTGAAAATAATTAAAGCTTCTCCATTCATTGTCTTATATATATCTCTAGATATGGTTTCCACAAATGTACTGGGTGCAGGTTTAATTAATTCCCACCACCAACTATATTCTTGTGGATAATTATCAAATTTGATATAAGGAATAAAAAATTTAAATGCGGGCTTAAATTCAGTAAATTTATCGAAATAGGCTAAATAGATAAAAAGTAATGGAATATATATAAAAAACAATATTATAATAATTATGTAATAAATAATGTTAAATAATCTCGTAACTAATGATTTTAACACTTCCAACTGATCATTATATTTAATAACCGTAGTGTCAGTAAAAGGATTAAGATATGATTTTTCTGTTATTTCATCGACCTGATAATCCATAGAATTTATTATCATGTTTGTATCCGATGAATATCTTGTAAGATATTCAGGATATTGTTCCTTCAATAATGGCATAGTCTCAGTAATAATACTCAAAAACATATAATGGAAATCTTGTTTAAAATAATTTAAACATTTTTTATATATATCAGCCATTAATTTTCTGTCATGCACCTTAATTGAAAATATAAATAATATCTGACCATATTTTAAAAAACCTATTTTATCATCGTTTAAGTATGAGATCCATCCATTAATTAGTTTCCTATCATAATCCACGTCAGTTTTATCGTTCCAAGTGTTATTATAAAAATATTTTAATGAAATTTCATTTTTTCCACTTTCATTTAAATGAAAGATAAAAATTCCAATAGTAGTTACTACGCCAAGATCGTTAAATTCATTAAGAAATTCAAATTGAATTATTGAAAAATTTTCTCTAAGATTAATCTTTATAAAATAATTAACAGCTTCATGTTCATTAACTTTCATATGAACACCTAATTCGATATGTCCATCTTTACTATAACCCATTACTTCAATATTCTGCAGCTCATTCTTATTGTCTTTAAAAACATCCCTCGAGGGAATCTCCATATTGTGAATCAACGGGTGTTCATATTTAACATTAAAGTTATTTGTTTCTTCATCAAGCCTTTCGATTCCGAAATATGTTAACCAATTTTCTTCATCTTCATACATTTGTAATTCCTCTAAAGTATAAGAGTTGATATCTAAATCCAATTTAATTTCAATTTTGAGAACGGAATCGTCTACTATTACAAATAAATGGTTCTGAAAATATTGAAGTTGTAAATTCTTCTTTAATAACGAATTATCTTTCGTTAATTGGTTTAAGAAAGAATTCCAAGTTTTATTATTCTTTAATAATGGATCTTTCGTTATTTGATTTAAGCAAGAAATCCTAGTTTGATTTTTCGACATATCATCAAATAAAGAGAGTAATAAACAATGTAAGTCGGTATTTTGTTTCATAAATTTATATAGTCGTATGTCTAAAAACGAAATGATCTTGTGTAAATAATGTTATATTGATATCTAATCATTTGAAATGAACGTACCTTTATTTGAATCCAATGACGCAATAGGAATGTTCAGTTCATCCAAATAAACAATAATTTCATCATTTATTTTCAGACAAGTAAACTTATTATTACTAGAAATTCTAATATTTTCCGTTTTAACCTGTTAAAATATGATTTCAAGTTAGAAATAAATATAAATTGGTTATTTTTATTAAATTTTTAATTTTATTAATTTTTTAAAATACTAATTACCCCTTTTAAGTTTTTGGAAATAACTTTAGTATTACCAGTTTTAATATTAAGTTCAATTATGTATGGCTTATACTCCATAAGTAGCCAAATTCTATCAGATATTATATCTATTAAATCCGTTAAATAGATTTGTTTAAATTTCTTTTGACACTTCCATTTGTTATCTTTAGTTTGTGTTGAATAAACCCGAATAAAGGGAAATTCAAGAAGGATGAACTCATTATTTAAATTGAATTTAAAAGAAAGGTTGCATAAATTAGACCTTAAATCTAATTTTATTGTTTGATCCTGATTTTTCATATCAATAATTTCTAATAAAAAAAAATTTTTTCATTAAATATTTATTAAACAAGTGCATTTGAATTATAAATAATTACTTACTAAATTCTTTTTCTCTATAACTAAATGCTACTATATTTTCATCAGAAACACACAAGTTGTTAATATTTTCTTGTTCAACACAATAAGGTTTAGCTGTGCCATCTGATTCTATTTTTCCTTCTTTGATATCTTGAATATTCCATCCAACAATTTGTTTGTCAATATGATTATACCCAACAATATATTTTGCATTTGGCGATATTGCTACCATATCATAGCTAGAATTTATGTTTTTATGTGATTTGACTTCATCTTCTACGGAAATTATCACAGATTTTTCAGACATTTCAGGAATAAAGAAATTAAATTTTTTTGCTCAAGAAAAATAACTTTATTTAATTTTTTTTTTTTTACCGAGTACATTTATCTTGTAATAATTTGATTGATGAAACCTAAAACGGGCCGGCCCGCATGTACGACGAAGGCAATGGAAATGTTGTTCTTTTACATATCAGTGTCACTCCTGACCGAAACACATTTATTTTACGAAAGTTTTATCATTGATTGATGAAACCTAAAACGGGCCACGATAAAAGTCTCAATAATTACTTAGAATGCAAATGTATTGTTCGTTTACATATTGTTCATTTTATAACTGTGTCACGTCAATCGGTGTCACTCCTGACAGAATCACGAGACATCACATGGTAATTAAATTAATTAATCAGCCAATTAGAAATTGGGTAAAATGGCGTCCAAACTTCCTATCGTATCGTTACTCAAATTCTACTCATGTCATTATATAAACAAATTTATTATTATAGAAATTATAATAAAAATAAAATTATTTACGGTGGCAGAATTTGTGCAGCAGATTTTTTGCTCAAGCAGAAACCGCAGAATTTATTGGCGATAATTATTGTTGTATTAACAATTATTAAAATTTTGAAACGTACACGGCGCAGCCGTGAAATAATTGATATTCATGGATTCCCGTGAAATAACTATTACATATAAGTATGTTAAACGTCATGTTATATTTCTTTTACTAAATCCGTATAGCTTGTTTCATGTGGGTTTTAATTCAATGTTAGATGTAAGTGAGCAATGTGCTTTTCTTGGCTCTCGTAATCATGTATGGAGATTTGTAAAGAAAGTCTTTTTTAAAAAAAATCCATATAAATTAATTTAGATAATAGTGTTTTTTTTAAAATAATTGAACATACTTACGTATTATAAAATTTCAAGAATAAAGAGTATACACGATTTGCAAAATAATTCCCTTCTGATATTTCTATTAAATAATTTTACCTTAAAATGTTCATTTTTGGGATTTGATAGTTGGACGAGTAAGCATTATATTTTTTTGAGATATTATTACAATTGAATATAATTCTGGCCGAAATCTTCATATTACAGTTAGTCTTTTTGACGATCATTTCTAAGCTGGGTGCCAAGGTTGTCAAGGTGCCAGTATGACAAATGTTCAAGATGCCAGGCTTGCTAATATTTTTTTTTATTTATACTGAGCTGGAAATTCTAAAACAGCTCAATATCCACGCTCGCCCTTGTAATATTTCTTTAATTACATTCCCTCCAAAATCCTCCCTTTTACACGTTTGCGATAATTCGTTTTCGCTGTTTCAACTTTTCAATTTCGTATATGTAACATCGTTTATTGTTTTATTTTTTTTTAAATTCCCTATTTGATTAGTGCTTTTTTATTCAATTTTATGTAATTATTTTCGTAATTTGCGCAGTTTTAATAAATAGAATTTATACTTGGCATTTATAGAGTTTAAAATATTGATCAAACGAAAGTGTAGAGCGCCGACGTTAAGGCAAACTGATTAATTTGATAATTTTAAATAAAATACTTGTCATTATTACTTACCCTTACCTTCTGCTTACAAAACAAATTTTTTATAAATACATAAACGAAAGAACTGAATACAACAGTATTTTTCTTTTGTAAACAAAATTCAATTTTTTACAAGAATTATTGATTAATTACATTATAAATTTTTATAATAATAAGATAGTAATATTAAAAAGGACTTTTTTTTTCATTTACACAAAAAAAACACAACACTTATTTCCTCCTCTCTTCTAAAAAGAATTTGAATTCTCTTTATATTTATTTTAAATATTATGATTTTTTTTTTAAACAATCTTTGTGAACTTTTTCATTATGTATTATATTATATATTAAATTTTAAAATTTTTACATTTTATTTTGTAAGAAAGAGAAGCAGTGTATCTATAGATTATATAGACTGACATATCCTTAAATCTTTTTTTGGGGGTGGAATTCTCATCTTATGAACTTTTCTTTCTTATGGTTGTTTTTTTTTAAAAAGAAAAAAATTTTTCTCCAAAATAATGAATGTGTAACCTGTGGTTTTTATGCTTGTTTAATGATAATTATAATTGATAAAAGTGATAAAAGGCGACAAAATAAATTAGTTTTGCTTTTTTTTTTTTTCAGAGCTATGCAATTATCTTTTAGAAAGTCATCTACAAACAAAAACAAACAATACTAAAATTTGCTAACTGTATAAAGGTTATGCAAACGGATTGTGCCGCCAAAAGTTTTTTTTTCATGTGTAGCTGTGGGCAGATTCTCTTCTCTAGGTGATTAATTACAATGAATAAAATATTTGTAAAAGGCGGCGGTTGTTTATGATTATTGTTGTGCATGAGAAAGTTGGGAATGTGGCTTCTACCAAAAAATACTTGATTCTTTGTTTTTTTTTTTATTTTGTTAATTTTAAATGATAATACAATACGCTTCTATAAAATTTTTCAAAGAATCATCATACAAAATTATAAGGAGGCTTAAAAGTCTCATGGCTTTTTTGTTTTTTGTTTTTGTCACATTTCATCAAATGGGTCCCCTTTTTCTTTTTTAAGGTCCACTTTCATTGATGATAACGCGATTTTTATTTTTCTGTAAAAATAACAAAGCTCCTATTTTACATCTTTCACGTTCAATGTAAAAAAAAAAATTTTGTTAATTAATTTATAATATAAACAGGATCAATGAATTTTCCATCAACTTATACAAGTTATGGGATGAATCTCCTATACTTAGTTTGGCTAGAGAGGATTCCTTAGGTAAATTATATGAATTTTATGAAATATTGATCATTTAAGTTATTATGATTCCGTTTTAACCTAAATTATTTTCATGTAGAATCTGAAAATAAAAAATGCATGACGC